AATAGCCAGGGAGCTGAAGAAGCCCCTAATGACACATGGCTGAAAACTACACGGGACAAATGACTGTCTCATCAACAAATAAACAGCAAGGGAAAAAAAAGCAATAGAACAAAGCTGATGGATTAATAGAGACTGAGAAGACAAGTTTACTGATTGTGGGGTATGAACTGCATTTGGATTCTGACATGAACACTCAATGCCATGGGCTTCACTCGTGCCTCAGACACTAAAGAATCTGCCTGCAATGAAGGAGATCTGGGTTTGAGCCCTGGGTTTGAAAGATGCCCTGGAGGAGGGTATGGCTACCCACTCCAATATTCTCACCTGAAGATTCCCATGGACAGAGGAGCCTGGTGGGCTACAGTCCATGGGATCACAAAGAGTCAGACATGACTGAACAACTAATACATATATATGTACATACATAATGCCGTGAGACAATAGGGGTCTGAACACTGATGGGGCCTGGAATGACACTGAGAAACTGGGTTTATTTTAGGCGGAGGAGGGTCCTGCATCTCTTGGAGGCAGGTGGGAAGTATTTAGGGACAGGAGGAGATGGCTTATTCCTTTGCCCAGTTCTCTATCTGGGTGACTGTCTTTTTCTTATTGATTTGTAAAAGCTCTTTATATATTAAGGTTATTAGCCCTTTGTCTCACAGTTGCAAATACATTCCAATATAGCATTTACTTTAACTTAGCCTACAGTGTTTTTTGGCATACACATGTCTAATTACCACTCAGCCCCCAGATATCTTTGCCTGTTCCTGCAACAGCATCACCCAGAGTCTTGCTCTAACTGTTCTCTCATTCTGTCAGGCCCGCTGCCCCCATAAGAAGGCCGTGACTGGCTTGGAGATTATCTGCTGCTTCCATCCACCCAAGCCTACCATAGTGCAGTCTGGAACAGAGCATGGAGGCCATGATGACCCCCTGTGGCTCCCCCGACCCAGGTTCCCAGATGCCTGGCTCACTCACCCATGGACTGGAAGCCTCCTGATTTCTTCTTCTTCTTGTTCTGAGCTCGCACCATCTCCCGCATGTCTGGCTCCACGTCCGAGGTGCATTCCGAGGTGGGGAAAGTGGGTAGGGGTCTGCCAGGCGCCAGCTGGGAGGGAGCAAGAGAGGCAGCATCACTCCAGGTATAGTCAGACCACTAGGGGCAGGGAAGGGGGCTGTCCTGCTGCCAGGCCCCTCCAACCTGCCCTCATTCGAGGTGTGTTGCTCCTGTGAGATCACGTGACTTCTCTGCCAAAAGGCTCTCCTTTGACTGGACAAAGACAGGGCAGTGGGTCTGAGAGTAGGCTCTACAGACTGCCTGTATTTCAGTCTCAACTCTGTCACTTGCAGCTGTGAGATCTCAGGCCAGGGGACCTCCTTGCCCAAAGCCTGTGTTCCCGAATCACGAAAATGGGGATGACAGGAGCATATGTCTTATAGGGTGTTGTGAAGTCTAAATGGGTGTGTGTAAAGCTTAGGACAGTGCCTAGATGGTGGTACCATCATTATTATCATCCAGACCAACAACTAATACATATATATGTACATACATAATGCCGTGAGACAATAGGGGTCTGAACACTGATGGGGCCTGGAATGACACTGAGAAACTGGGTTTATTTTAGGCGGAGGAGGGTCCTGCATCTCTTGGAGGCAGGTGGGAAGTATTTAGGGACAGGAGGAGATGGCTTATTCCTTTGCCCAGTTCTCTATCTGGGTGACTGTCTTTTTCTTATTGATTTGTAAAAGCTCTTTATATATTAAGGTTATTAGCCCTTTGTCTCACAGTTGCAAATACATTCCAATATAGCATTTACTTTAACTTAGCCTACAGTGTTTTTTGGCATACACATGTCTAATTACCACTCAGCCCCCAGATATCTTTGCCTGTTCCTGCAACAGCATCACCCAGAGTCTTGCTCTAACTGTTCTCTCATTCTGTCAGGCCCGCTGCCCCCATAAGAAGGCCGTGACTGGCTTGGAGATTATCTGCTGCTTCCATCCACCCAAGCCTACCATAGTGCAGTCTGGAACAGAGCATGGAGGCCATGATGACCCCCTGTGGCTCCCCCGACCCAGGTTCCCAGATGCCTGGCTCACTCACCCATGGACTGGAAGCCTCCTGATTTCTTCTTCTTCTTGTTCTGAGCTCGCACCATCTCCCGCATGTCTGGCTCCACGTCCGAGGTGCATTCCGAGGTGGGGAAAGTGGGTAGGGGTCTGCCAGGCGCCAGCTGGGAGGGAGCAAGAGAGGCAGCATCACTCCAGGTATAGTCAGACCACTAGGGGCAGGGAAGGGGGCTGTCCTGCTGCCAGGCCCCTCCAACCTGCCCTCATTCGAGGTGTGTTGCTCCTGTGAGATCACGTGACTTCTCTGCCAAAAGGCTCTCCTTTGACTGGACAAAGACAGGGCAGTGGGTCTGAGAGTAGGCTCTACAGACTGCCTGTATTTCAGTCTCAACTCTGTCACTTGCAGCTGTGAGACCTCAGGCCAGGGGACCTCCTTGCCCAAAGCCTGTGTTCCCGAATCACGAAAATGGGGATGACAGGAGCATATGTCTTATAGGGTGTTGTGAAGTCTAAATGGGTGTGTGTAAAGCTTAGGACAGTGCCCAGATGGTGGTACCATCATTATTATCATCCAGACCAGTCATTCAGAGCCCTTAAAACTTTGGGAAGCCAATCAAAACATCTATTAAGAATGAGGGAGACTTTTCCAATCTGTCCTGCACCCCTGTCCCTCACCCCATTTCTGATCCATCACCCCTCCCCAGATCTGTTCTCTCTCATTCCTGGCTTCCTGTCTCTGCCACCCACTTGTCCTAGCACAGCTAAATCAAACCCAGACACCTCCCCTGGGGAGCCTTTTTGGACTACAGCACTGTCTTCTTCCTCTCAGAAATAACATTTATAAAAACACTAATTCATAATAATGGCCAAAACTTATATGGCACTTACTATAAGCCAGGTGCTGTACTGAGCATTCATATAAATTAACTCACTTCTCACAACAACACTGTCAAGCAGCTATTATTATTTAGTCTCTTTTACAGAGAAGGAAACTGACACAAAGAGAGATGAAGTGACCTGGCAAAGTCACACAGCCAGTAAGGGATATGAACCCTGGCTTCAGAGTTTATGTTCTTTCCTATGTGCTCCTCTGTGGTCCAACACAACCTTCTACGTCAGACCTGTACCTGTCTTGTACAGTCCCTGAGATAAGAACGGTTTTTAAATTTTAAAAGGTTGTAACAAAATCAAAGAAGACAGTTATATGACCTTGTATGACCTTGCAAAGCCTAAACTATTTACCATTTGGTCCTTTACAGGGAAAGTTTCCCAACCTACCCCTGCTCTAGATGGACACATGATAACAAAGTGCCTGTAACACACTGGTGCCCCAGCAATATTTGCTGAAGAGTAGAATGTCTGAACACTGTCATTTCCTCCTTTCCACAGTGTTTGAGGCACATAGAATCAACTACTTTCTACCCGTGCAGAAGTTGAGGCACACACAGAGAGGTTAAGCAATTTCTCCCTCGTGTACTCCCAGAGCCAGTACAAGGTGTTGAACACCTGGCCTTGGCCCGTAGTTACAGGGTACCTACTGTGTGAGGCTCAGCTGAGATGGAATAAGGTTCCCATCTGGTCCCTACTTCTGAGGAGCCTAGAGGGCTCTCTTCATATGAATGCCCACTCATTCATCTCTTATATCGAGTCTTCCCTGTGCCAGACATCCGCTAAGTACAAGGTTGGGAAAAACAATAGGCTACAGCTCTTTTGCCCCCTTGGGGCTCNACTTGGCACTCAGTAGTGGAAATAGCACAGGGCCTGGAACCATGCAGTCCTGGATTTGAATCCTGGCTCTCCCACTCACAAGCTATGAGGTCTTGGTCAAGTTGCTTCACCCCTCCAGGCTTCTGTTTCCTTCTCTGGAAAATGAGGATAAGTACTTAGCTCGCAGGGTTGATGTGGGGATTAAATGATAAGGCTTATAAAAGCTCTTAGCACGGAGCCTGCACACAGTAAGTGATCAACAGACGCGAGTTTAATTTATTATTAGTTTCCCAGAGGTTTGGGGGCGTCGCTGTCTCAAAGCCACGAGGTGCAGCCTTCTCCTAATTCTTCCTCCCAAGAAACCCCAACTCTCAAAAGTCCAATGTTCAGCACCCGCACTTTTCATTGGACGAATGGAAAGGAGGATCCGCCCCCCCTGGCTAGGAGGAAGCCAATGAGAAGCGCTAGACCAAGCGTCAGCCAGGAAGGCCCGCAGGCCCCCAGCTTACCCAGCACCGAGGCTTCGGACGTCTGGACCCGGGGTGTGGGGGGTCCTGGGACACGTGCTCAGGCCGGAGGTCCTGCCCTGACCCCCCTGGCCAGCCGATCTCTCCCCATCCTCAGCCGTGCCCGCTCCCCACCTGGGGGAACTGCCGGGCACCGCGCGGAGCCGGAGCTCGGGCTCCGACGTGTATCCCAGCCCTGCGCTCCCTACCTTCTGGGCCCGGGCGTCATCTTCTGCCCGGATCTCAAACTCGCCGTCCTCCGAGTCGCTGCTGCGGGACTGGGACGCCGCACCCCGGCGCTTCCGGAGCCCCTTCTTCTTCTTCCACTGGGCCATGTTAGCTCTGGACCGCTGTGCGGCCGCCGGGCGCGTGCCGGCAGCCATGCGGGCCCCGGCTCAGGGAAACGGGAGGGGGCGGAGCCCGTGGGGACATACCAACAGCGCCGCGGGGGCAGGGGGGACGCCTCCACGCGGCCCCGGCTGCGTTCCCGCTCCTTCTGCTGCTTCTGGAGGCTTGATCCACATGCACGCACACACTTCCCTTGCTGGCGCGGAAGGTCCCCCTTCCGAAGCTTTGGGGAGCTCCGGGGGGCGTCCGGAATCGGGGGCCTTAACTCACCTCCGAGGAGTGAATGGTTCAGGCCGCCCCGCCCCATCCTGTCACTCACGGGTTGCTGTTGGACGCGCGCGCGCGGAGCACACGTCGCTAGGGCCGGGCTGCCGGCGCTGAGTCGTTCCGCGCAGAGTCCCCGGCTTGGGCTGGGGCTGGGGGCGGCCTTGGAACTTCGCGGGCTCCCGGATTTCAGAGCTGCCGATTCTGATGTCCGGCGCGCGCCACCGGTGCCCTAGGGCCCCCGCGAAAGAGTCCAGGCCTGGGAGCAGGGGACGCTGAGGGTAACGACCGACGTCAGTGAGCCAAGATGCTCAGGTAGGAAAATAACTCTATAATGCGGGCACATCAGACATCTAAGGGACGTGGACTTGGGGATCGGTGAATGTGGGGCAGCNCAGGCCTGGGAGCAGGGGACGCTGAGGGTAACGACCGACGTCAGTGAGCCAAGATGCTCAGGTAGGAAAATAACTCTATAATGCGGGCACATCAGACATCTAAGGGACGTGGACTTGGGGATCGGTGAATGTGGGGCAGCTGGAGGACTGGGTGTGATTCCCTACTAGTGGAATGGTTAAGTGCACGAGCTTTAGACCCTTAATCAGGTTCAAATTCAATTTCCACTGTTCTAGCTTTATAGGTGTGACTGACACTTGTGACTACACCTTTTGAAGCCTCAGTTTTGTCATCTGTAGAATGAAAATAATGGAAGCTACCTCACAGGAGTGTTGAGAGGATGAAATGAGACAATGCTTGTAAAGCTCTTTGCAGGAGGTAGGCTTGGGATCAATCAATGCTGGTTATTATTTCTGCTCCATAAATATGTACAAGATATAGAAAACTGCCCTGTTTCCCCCATCCCCCACCAGCATAGTTGACTTTCTGTTTGGTGCCAGAATAGGCACAGGCCCAAATCTCTTGTTCATCCCCCTAGCGTTCTATAAATATTGACTGAGCACACACCAGTATGCTAGGAATGCGTATTTACTCATTAAATATTTGTAGCACCCCTGTCCCCGTCATTTCTGTGTGCTCAGTCACTCAGTTGTGCCTAACTGCGAATCCATGGACTGTAGCCTGCCAGGCTCCTCTGTCCATGGGGATTCTCCAGGCAAGAATACTGGAGTGGGTTGCCATGTCCTCCTCCAGGGGATCTTCCCAACCCAGGGATCAAACCCAGGTCTCCTGCACTGCAGGTGGATTCTTTACCATCTGAGCCACCAGGGACGCCCACCCCTTAATTACAACAACTCAGAGAAGGTCAAATTTCTGAAATGTTCCCTGGGATTGGCAGCTCCCCTTTGAGGAAGACTGGTTGAGGGAGAATGTGACCTTTTTGGCCTGGGGACAGGGACTTAAGCGATTGCCAGTCTTTTCTGATGACAGATGTTGCCACCCTGACCCCTTTTCATAGGGAGCCCTGGAGGCAGGGCCTGGCAAGCAGAGCACCCCTGCTGTCACCCAGGACTACGGAGAGCATGAAGACCCCGGTGGAGCTGGCCATCAGCGGGATGCAGACCCTCCACATTCAGCACCGTGACCGGGGTGGCTACCGGGTCAAAGTTAGGCCATCATACGTGGATGAGACTTTGTTTGGCAGCCCTGCAGGCATACGGCCTGCACCACCAGACTTTGACCCACCGTGGATGAAGAAGGCCAACAGAACCAGAGGAGTGGGGACAGGGGTGTCACAGGCCTTGGGGGCCAATGGGAGCTGTGAGTCCACCTCTTCCAGTGGCAGCACCCCAACCCTCACACCAAGGAAGAAGAACAAATACAGGTAATAGGATAGGGAGGTTCCCTGCCGATCACCTTCCGTGTGACCTTGGGCAAGCAGTTTGACCTCTCTGAGCCCCAGTTTCCTCACAGTGGAAAGCGGGATGTAGTGGGGTTATTGAAAAGACTTAAGGGGGTGAGACATGTACAGTGGTTGGCATGGTTACCTGACACTAAGGGATCAATAAATGGTAATGCCATTAGACCGGACTTCTGAGGCCCAGAGGGGTGAGCTGATTTGTCCAACAGAGAGAGAGTGTTAGTCGCTCAGTTGTATCCATTTCTTTGCGACCCCATATACTGTAGCCTGCCAGGCTCCTCTGTCCATGGAATTCTCCAGGCAAGAAGAGTGGAGTGGGTTGCCATTTCCTTCTCCAGGGGATCTTTCCTACCCAGGGATTGAACCTGGGTCTTCTGCACTGCAGGAGAATTCTTTACCTTCTGAGGTACCAGAGAGTCCTTGATTTATCCAAGATCACAGAGCAATTTGCATAAGATTACTAGTGTGCTTAATCCATCAAATGACATAGATGTGGTGATTCCAAACTTAAGCAAGTCATTTTGAAAATGGTTCTTGCTGCATTTCCACCAACAAGTTAGAAAAATGGAATCTAATGCCAGTGGTTATTTTGTAAGGATTATTTAAGTTATTTCAATTAATAGTCTGGAGGGAGGCCACAGGGCTCTATCTTACTGATTGTCATCAGTGTCTTGAACAGAGATATGAAAGACTAGTATATTAATCAATCAGGTTTGTTATATATATAACAAAATACTATAGACTGGGAGGCCTAAACAGCATAAATTTGAGTTTTCACGGTTATGGAGGCTTAAAGTCGAAAGTCAAAATGCTAGCAGGGTTGTTTTCTCCTGAAGCCTATCCTTGGGTTGCAGATGGCCAGCTATTCCCTGGGTCCTCACATGGACTTTTCTTTGAGTGTGTACATTCTTGGTGCCTCTTCCTCTTCTTATAAGGACACAAATCCTATTGGATTAGAGCCTCACCTTTGTGGCCTCATTTGTGTGTGTGTTAGTCGTTCAGTCATGTCCAGCTCTTTGCAACCCCATGGACTGTAGCCTGCCAGGCTCCTCTGTCCATGGATTTCTCCAAGTAAGAAGACTGGAGTGGGTTGCTATGCCTTCCTTGAGGGGATCTTTCCGATCCAGGGATCAAATCCAGGTCTCCTGCATTGCAGGCAGATTCTTTACCACTGAGTCACCAGGAAAGCCCATGGCCTCATTTAACCTTAATTTAATTCAACACAGATTTTGGGAGGAGGCAGTTCAGTCCTTAATAACTAGCCAGTCCTATTTGGGATCCATTCTGAGCCAAAAGGCATGTACGCTAATTGAGAGTGGGAATAGTGCCTATTTAAGAGGATAAAATTCAACAGAGATGAAAGCAAGACCCCATTATTGTCACGTCTGCTTGACAGTTCCCATGGAGCACGGGGCAGGCTCAGGTTGACATTAGCGGCACTGACATCTACAACGTGGCTGAAAGTGCTGGTGTTACTGTAGGCTACACTAACAGAAGTCTGTGCCAGGGAGGCACCAGCCAGCCCTGTGCTCGCCCGGAGGGTGGAATTTCGTGCTGGATACTGACAGGTAGAGGGTGTCAAGTTAGACGGTGCATAAGAGGTAGAGATGCTATTAAGCAGAAACTTTGGTACCAGACAGACGTAGGTATCAACCAAATCTGGGTTTGAACAGTTAAATCAAGTGGCCAAAATGTTGACTTTCCAAAGACTTGCAGTTTGGGAATGGGGAGCACTTTTAGTTCTGGCCTAAAGTCATGGACCTCACATCTCATAGATATGCCGTGAATATTTGTGGGATTAATAAAAAAAAAAATTGCTGAATGAATCTAGTCAAAGGTGAGAGGCCCTTAAGGCATTTAAGTCTGGCTTAGTGATCAAGAGCTTGGGCCCTTGAGTGGGGAGGGGGAGGGGCTGGATTTGAATCTCTGTAAGCCTTCCTTGTTTTCATCCCTGCCTCAGTTTTCTTGTCTATAAAATAGGATTATCATATTGCCATCCTGTGGGTTTTGTGAGAAATAATGAGATAACACAAGTGACAAGCTGAGTCCTGGGCCTATACAGGAAAAGCCCTGAGTAAATATTCAAAAATTTTAAAAGCTACTCTGGTGGTGTGCCAGCTCACAGCACCCTCTACATGCCAGGTGCTTGGCTGTGCAATTTCAAATGCAGTTAGAAGGGCCACATGACTGCAGAGGGTTCGGCTGACAGGGCCACTAAGAAAAAGGTGAAGTGGTGAGTTGAAAGAAAAAGTGAAGGTGCTGAAGACTAAGGTTATATTAGTGTTGGTTGCAAATAAGAGAAGAATTGGGCTTGGAAACAAGTTAAACGGGCCTCAGCAGACAAAGGGCATTTGGGACTTATATAACAGGGGCTCAAAATGTTGTTGGGATTCTTTCCCACACATATTCCAGGTGAGATGGCCACCAGCTCTTTTGCCCTTATATCCTTCCTGCTCTTTCTTAAGCACTCAGAGGAGCAAAGACATTTTTCTCCTAGTAGTTTTCGCAAAGATTCTAAGGAAAACTCCCATTGGGCAGAATGGGTCATGTGGTTAGTCCTGAGCCAATCAGTGTGGTCAGGAGGATGGGGTATGCAAATTGGCCTGGCGTAGGCCAATTGGGCACATGCTCAGGATGGGATGGGGAGGATGCAGGGGGACTGGATGCTCAGCAGGGGGAAAATAGAGTTGAGGATAGTGGCACATGAGGGCTGTGGCTTCCCTGTGGGTACCACGCTGGGAGACAAGGACTTCTGGGATCTACAGGCAATCCTCTAGGGGGGGTGAGAAAAGGTTACAGGGCTTATTTCCCCTGCTCATTGTTTCTCTTCCCTTCCCAGACTGATCAGCCACACTCCTTCTTACTGCGATGAGTCTCTCTTTGGCTCCCGACAGGAGGGCGCCAGCTGGGAGGCCAAGTGGATGGCGAGGGGTGATGCTGCAAAGCTCCACGCCCTCTTCTGGACACCCCCGGCTACCCCTAGGGGCAGCCATTCTCCCCGCCCCAGGGAGACTCCAGTGCGAGCCATTCACCCAGCTGACCTCTCAAAGACAGAGCACAGGGTAGTGGCCAGCTCCCGGAGGCTGTCCGCGGATGGGTTAGACACTCCACGCCCTCTGAGGCGGGAGCGTTCCCACTCCCTCACCCACCTTAATGTCCCCAGCACAGGTCGCCCACCCGCCAGCAGCCCCTGCACCAGTGGGCCCCGAGATCCCAGGCCTGCCCCATCAGGGGTGACCTTCCGGAGTCCCCTGGTGACTCCCAGGGCGCGTTCAGTCAGCGTTTCAGTGCCAGCTACCCCCCAACAAGGTGGGGCTACCCAGAAGACAAAGCCCCCTTGGAAATGAGTTTCTTGGTCCTTTGTACAGGTGTGCCCATGGGGTCCCAGCGAGGGGCAGAGTTTCAGAGAATGGTGCTGGTGCGCAGGCCTCTGGGGAGAACACAAGGCATTGGTGGAGCACTCCCGGGGACAGAGCGAGGGTGGGCAGTGCCCCCATCTGACCACCTCTGGTTGCTCCCTGTTTTCCCTGCTGATACGGATTGGAGGGTCAACCCTTGACATACCTGTGTCCAGTCCTGTCATGGCCACATGGCCTGTCAGTGCCAACCCAGGGGGTGTCTCCCGGGAGGGTCCCCCACCTCCTCCATCACACCCACAACATTGTCTCCCCACCAAGTGTGAATAAATGGTGTGATCGCCAACCTGGAGGGCTCTTCCTCCCTCCCTTCAAGCCAAGTTCCTGCTCAGGATAAGTTTCCAGCTGAGTCTGGAGGCCTCAGGAATTTTCCCAGGCACCATGTGTGGACCAGCGGGGTACACGAGGACCTGGGTGATATGTGGGTGGACATTTAAAAATTTTAATAGTCATGTATTTATTTTCATGTATTAAATATATCAGTAGCTCATCAAAGCCATGAGTTTTGTTAATTTCTTTTTTCCCTGTAAGGTAAAGACCAGTGTTAGGCCTGAATTGATTTAAGTAACAAAATTAATAATGTTGCAATCACAACCGTGGCAGTGGGGCAACTGATCCTCCTCCCATCATGGGCTTCTAGCTAATGCCACTGATTGGTGGGTTGGCTGGGTCTTCCTGAGTTCAGAATATGGGCTACAGTTGTTTTGAAATCAGATATATAAACATGTATCTGATGTACATTTCCTACCTTTAAAAATGCAGGTCAAGAAGCAATAGCTAAGACTGGACATGGAACAACTAACTGGTTCAAAATTGGGAAAAGAGTATGACAAGGCTGTATAGTATCACCCTGCTTATTTAACTTATATACAGAGCACATCATGCGAAATGCCAGGCTGGATGAATCGCAAGTTGGAATCAAGATCGCCAGGAGAAATGTCAATAACCTCAGATATGCAGATGATACTGGCAGAAAGGGAAGAGGAACTAAAGAGCTTCTTGAGGAGAGTAAAAGGGGAGAGTGAAAAGACTGGCTTAAACTCAGCATTCGAAAAAGCCAAGATCATGGCATCCAGTCCCATCACTTCATGGCACATAGAGGGGGGGAAAGTGGAAGCAGCGACAGATTTTATTTTCTTGGGCTCCAGGATCACTTTGGACAGTGACTGCAGCCATGAAATTGAAGGATTGGAAGAAAACTGCTCCTTGGAAGAAAAGTTATGACAAACCTAGATAGCATATTAAAACGCAGAGACATCACTTTGCCAACGAAAGTCCATCTAGTCAAAGCTATGGTTTTTCCAGTAGTCCTGTATGAATGTGAGAGGTGGACCATAAAGAAAGCTGAGCACCGAAAAATTGATGCTTTTGAACTGTGGTGTTGGAGAAGACTCTTGAGAGTCCCTTGGACTGCAAGGAGATCAAACCAGTTAATCCTAAAGGAAATCAATCCTGACTATTCATTGGAAGGATGGATGTTGAAACTGGAACTCCAATGCTTTGTCCACCTGATACGAAGAGCTGACTCATTGGAAAGGACCCTGATGCTGGGAAAGACTGAAGGCAGGAGAAGAGCAATCACCAACTCAATGGACATGAGTTTGAGCAAGCTCCAGGAGTTGGTGATGGACAGGGAAGCCTGGCATGCTGCAGTCCATGGGGTCACAAAGATTTGGACACGACTTAGCGACTGAACTACAACACGAAAGTTCTTAAAAAGCAAAATCCACAATGATTGGACTTTGCCCAATTGAGGGGTCCAGTAAGACCACAAAGTTACACATGGCTCCTGGAGAGCATTCAGGATGGAGCCCTAACTGGTCAGGGCCCACCCTTCCCTGCTCTGCACTGTCCCGGGTCAGGCACCTTAGGAAGAACAGCAAAGCCTTTGCCCTGATGGAGTTGCACCCAGAATTGCAGCATCCCAGTGGGTTTGGTGGAGGCCAGACTTCCAGCTTCTCCTTGTCCCCATTTTCCCATGATGCGCCTCCAGGAAGCACAGAGATTCCAGATAGGCCAGCTGGAGGCCACATCTTGGGTTCTATACCTCTACGCTGGGGGAAAAGATGCGCAAACACTCCTGGGGAACTGTGGGAGGAGCCGACAGTGACTAGGACCAGGGGCCCATGTGCAGATGCCTTTGCAAGTTGGGTGGGCCGTGAGGGAAGCCAGCAAGCTGCGCCTTCAGCACAAACACAGCATATTAAACACGGATGTTTAAATTTCCTAGAACTCTAACAGAATTAGTACCCTCCCCTCCTCAGTTTTACTTGAAACTCATTTGCCTTCATTTCCTCCCCCTATGTTTTAACAGACATTGGCCACAAATACCTCTTTCCTCCAAACTGTACTAAAAAAAAGGAAGCCACTGCCCAAGTATGATGAAAAGAGGCAACTGACACTGACGCGGTGAGGGCTGGAAGACAGTTGGGAGTGGAGGGGACTGGGGCAACCTGTCCCTGCCATCCATAGGCATCTATAGGGGGCGCTGCTGCCCATCTTTTGAAGACATGGAGGCCCAGGATATCTGGATGCTGAGTTGTTTCTTTCCAGAAAAGGTATTTCTAAGCAATAGCCTCTGTTTTTTTGTTTTTTGGTGTTTTTTTTTAATGCCAGAAGTGTATTAAAAAATACATTGTTCGACCCCCCCTGGATACCAAATAAGGCCAATGTGAGGTTGCTGGTTTTTGACCTTGCGCTTTCAGTTTTAAATGGGGGCGAAGTTGTAAACAAATACCCAGAGCAGGAGCTGAGGGCAGCCAGAAACCCTACCTGTCCCTCTAAGAGTTCTCTGCTCGCCCTGCCTGCCTTTGTCGGTGGCTATGACCCACACCCAACTGTCCTGGCCGGTGATGCGTCCATCACAGTCATGGCAACTTGTGGTCTGGCACCCAGGCGGGCAGAAAAGGGGTTGCAGCCTGGGGTGTTCCCCGCCGCACCCTCCCCCGACAATGGACAAAGCATCTGCAGCGTGGACACACACCCAGGGGCCCGGGGAGAATGAAGTTTATCTGTAGGCTGTGTTTGACAATGGTTTTTAATTTTGAAAAGGCGTGAAAGTCATAAACTACGGGGCTTCCCAGGCCAGCTCTCGAGTGAGAGGTCAGATTATGGCGAGCGCGGAGGGAGGACTTACTTCTTGCCCTTCTCTTTGCCCTTGCCCTTCTTCCCGCCTTTGCCCTTGCCCCGCTTCTTCTTGGACTTGAGCATGGAGCGGACCAGGTAGCCCTTCCACAGGGCCTGGATGAGCGTGGCGGCCCGCACCATGCGCACCATCTCCTGCTCGTCCTCCAGCCTCTTCTTGGTCAAGATCTCGCGCTCGGCCTGGATCTGGGAGAACTCTTCCACCAGCACGTCGTACCGTTTCTTCAGCTCCTCCAGCTGGAGCTGCTCCTCTTTGTGGATGACGTCCAGCTCCTCATACTCGTCCTGGGGCGAGAGGCAGGGAGCGGGTGGGCCATCGCCAGGCTCAGAGCTCCGTCTCCACCCTCCTGTGCGCATGCTCCCCGCCTCCCTGCAGGCACTGCCGCCCCCAGCCGTGGCCGCCAATGCTAAGCTTGTCTGCATCCCAGGCCCGGATGGGAAAGGGAGAGGTGACGGCGACGGTCCATCCCTAGCTTGCGGTGGGAGGCCCGGCTTAAATAATTTCAGGAATGAGGAAAACACCCAGCTTGTGAGCTGGGCTGACTGGGCTTCTAATCTCAGCTTGGCCGTGTCTTAAGGGGCTTCACCTTGTTCCAAGCCTTCCCTATTTCCTCATCTGAAATGTGAGGACTATTCCAAACCCAGGAGCAGGGGTGGGAACTATTTCCCTGATTAAATGTTGGGCTAGATGCAACATCCTAGATGGTGGTGCCAGGCACACAGTGGGGATGTTTAAAAGAAATGCCAGCCGCTGCCATCCACATGGTCCGTGTCACAAAGATACCCAGAGAGGACCTTCCTCAGGTGACCAAACCCCACAGTTCTTCCCCACCTCTAACTAACCACAGCCTCTCCTGCTGTATTTCACACCTATCTCCCTCCCTCCCTCCTTCCCACCAAGCATCTATTAGAAGCAAAGCACTTCCAGAGGAGGCAGAGCTAAGTGGACACTGTCTTTGCCATCATTAACCCACCACCCTCACTAGGAACAGAGAAATGAGCACAGCCTCCAGTCTCCCCCTTCCTAGAGCACTGGGGATCAGACAGACCCCGAGTGGCCCTTCTCTTGACAGCACGCTTGACGTTGGACCACTCAGAAGCTGAGGTCCTCTCCAGTACTCACCAGGCCTTCCTGGCCCCAAAGTTGGGGCTCTGGGCCACTGATGTTAGCACAGAGCTGAGTGGAGGCCTCAGGACACCCCTGTTTTATAGACTGCTGTTCCCTGAGCACCTACTCCAGGCCAGATCTTGTGTTGTACGAGCTTCACTGAATCCCCACCATGGTCCCAGCCTAGGTGTTACTGCTTATGTTGATCACATGCAGAATCCAAGGTCAAGTCCCTTGCTTAAGGTCACACAGTGACATAAGTGCCACTAGAGTAGAACCTCCAGATGACAATGAGGACTTTCTTCACCACCGGAGGCTGGCACCCGGCCCATCTCAAGCACTTGGTAGAAAGTTCCTGGGCAACTGAGTGAAGTGGTGGAGGTGAACTCGTGCTTGAATCCAGCACAGATGAGTCCTGGCTGGCAGGGCTGCTGGAGGGAGCTGAACAGGAGGGGACAGGGAGCCTGGGATGTTGACCTTAGATGGAGCCGAGATCTTTGGATCTGGTGCCAAACGCCACTTTGTGGCTGGCAGCTTCTGTTTCCTTCCTTTGCCACTGCTCCCCTCACTGCCCCAGACTAGACAAACCCTTGAGCCTAATGAAGGGACAGGGAAGTCACTCTCGGGAGGCCCAGAACTAGGCGTAGACCATGGACCATCCAAGGGCTTCTCTTCCCCTGCCCCCTCACCCCGATTCCTAGAGGATCTTGGGAAACACACTTGAGACAGAATTAGGCAGACAAATACCTGCTTTTCACTCATCTCTGAATCATATTTCTGGATCCAGTTCTCAATTTCTGTTTCCAATTTATATTTTTTCTGGAAAAAAAAATTCAATTAGTCATTGCTTGATGGACTGAAAGTAACAATGAACGGCACCGAGTCTGCTCTGCGTCAGCAGGCAGTCTGTCACGCCTCGCCTACTCGCCTACTCGAATCCACACCACAAGGTAGGTTCTCCATTTCACAGATGAGGGCATGGAAGATCAGGAGTACTGACTCACTGGACCCAAGATTACAGAGCTGATGGGTGGTTAGAGCTCGGATTTGAAGCCAGCTGTCTGGCTCCAGAACATTCTAGGCAGATGGAGCAGCTGGTGCAAAGGCCCTGAGGTGGGAACAATCTTGTGATGTTTAAAGAATAGGCACCTGAGCCTATGTGGCTGGGATGGCATGGCCGAAGGGGAGCATGGTCCCGGTGAGTTCCGAGTGAGAAGCTGTGTCACAGAGGGAGGGTCTGCAGCTGAAGGAGTTTGGTTTCTAGTGTAAGAGGGAGGGGATGCTCGCTGTTGCATGGATTTAGACACAGCAGAGGAATGTGCTCTAATTTTGTCTTTAAAAGATCAGCTCCTGTACATACAATGGAATGTTTAGTTCAGTTCAGTCACTCAGTTGTGTCCAACTCTTTGCAACCCCATGGACTGTAGCATGTCAAGCCTCCGTGTCCATCACCAACTCAAACTCAAACTCATTGCCAACATCCGCTGGATCATTGAAAAAGCAAGAGAGTTTCAGAAAAACATCTATTTCTGCTTTATTGACTATTCCAAAGCCTTTGACTGTGTAGATCACAACAAACTGTGGATAATTTCAAAAGAGATGGGAGTTTACTCAAACTCATCTCCATTGAGTCGGTGATGCCATCTAACCATCTTGTCCTCTGTCATCCCCTTCTCCCACCTTCAATCTTTCCCAGCATCAGGTTCTTTTCCAGTGAGTCAGTTCTTCACATCAGGTGCCCAAAGTATTGGTGTTTCAGCTTCAGTATCAGTCCTTCCAATGAACAATCAGAACTGATCTCCTTTAGGATAGACTGGTTGGATCTCCTTGCAGTCCAAGGGACTCTCAAGAGTCTTCTCCAACACCACAGTTCAAAAGCAGCAATTCTTCAGCACTCAGCTTTAGGATGGACTGGTTGGATCTCCTTGCAGTCCAAGGGACTCTCAAGAGTCTTCTCCAACACCACAGTTGAAAACCATCAATTCTGCAGCACTCAGCTTTCTTTATAACTCTCACATCCATACATGACCACTGGAAAAACTATAGCTTTGACTAGACAGACCTTTGTTGGCAAAGTAATGTCTCTGCTTTTTAATATGNGCATGTGAGATGAGTGCAATTGTGCGGTAGTGATTGGATTGGAATGAAAACTGACCTTTTCCAGTCCTGTGGCCACGCTGAGTTTTCCAAATTTGCTGGCATATTGAGTGCAGCACTTTAACAGCATCATCTTTCAGGATTTGAAATAGCTCAACTGAAATTCCATCACCTCCACTAGCTTTTTTCATAGTGATGCTTCCTAAGGCCTACTTGACTTCACATTTCAGGATGTCTAGCTCTAGGTGAGTGATCACACCATCGTGATCATCTGGGTTGTGAAAATCTTTTTTTGTACAGTTTTTCTATGTATTCTTGCCACCTCTTCTTAACAGCTTCTGCTTCTGTTAGGTCCATACCATTTCTGCCCATTATTGAGCCCATCTTTGCATGAAATGTTCCCTTCGTATCTCTAGTTTTCTTGAAGAGATCTCTAGTCTTTCCCATTCTATTGTTTTCCTCTATTTCTTTGCACTGATCATTGAGGAAGGCTTTCTTAGCTCTCCTTGTATTCTTTGGAATTCTGCAATGTTATTCTGCCATAAAAAGAAGTGAAGTGTTGGCAGATGCTATGTGGGCGGGCCTTGAAAAGAAGATGCTAGAAAGACCACATATTTTATGATTCCACTTCAATGAAGAGTCCAGAATAGGCAAATCCGTGGAGACAGAAAGTAGATTAGTGGTTTCCAGGGGCTGGGGGAAGGGGAGTGAGTGAGAAAGTGCTTAATGAGTACAAGGTTTGTTTGGAGGGGATGAAAGTGTTTTGGAACTAGAGAGAGGTTGTGGTTGTACAACACTGTGAATACTAAGTGCCACTGAATAAAATGGTTGTATTTTTTTGTTATGTGAATTTCACCTCAATTTAAAAAAATCAGCTCCTTAGTTCTTACGGGCTTCCCTGGTAGCTCAGATGGTAAAGACTCTGCCTGTAACTTAGGAGACCCAGGTTCGAACCCTGGGTTGGGAAGATCCCCTGGAGAAGGAAATGGACAGTATTCTCCAGTATTCTTGCCTGGAGAATCCCATGGACAGAGGAGCCCGGTGGGCTACAGTCCATGGGGTTGCAAAGAGTCCAACATGACTGAACGACTAAACACACAGTCCTTAGAGTGCAACAGTTCTTAACTTGCGTACCACACACAGGTTGGCTTCAGGGAGCCTGTGACCCCAGAATTGCCCATCCCCGTGCGCAGATGCCTTTTCATGGGGGAGAGGCCCAGGGCTTCCAGCAGATTCTGGGAAGAGTTGTGATAAGGAAAGGGAGTCCGCAGCAAACTGGGTGCCTGCGGGGCCTGGGTCCTGGCTGAGATGAGGGAGAAGGCGGATGAAGAAAGGATACTTATTGAGCACTACTAGGCACCAGCTCTCCACCCACCATCTCATCTAGTTCTCGTAATAACTCATTAAGGCCTATTCAATCACGATCGTCTTCAAGATGTGGAAACTAAGGCTTGGAGGGAGCTGAGGGATTTGCCAGAGGTTTCCGTGTGCCTTCATTTCCTTTGCAGGATGGGGGGGTGGGGGTGGGGGTGGGTGTCATTCTCTTTGCGGGTCTCAGAGGAGCGTGGGAGCATGCTCAAGGTCACAGAACTGGCATGTAGTGGGACCCCATGCCTCTGCCCCCAGCCCCCTCCCGGCTCCTCTGCCGGGCACCTGGTCCTCGCTGTGCCCCCTCCCGCCCTGGTGGCCCCACTGCCCCCACCGTCCCGCTTCCCCAGGGCACCTTCCTCAGCGCCTGCTCCACCTCCCTGTTCTCCATGACCAGGTTGTGGAACTGCGACTGCAGCACCAGGATCTCCTGCTGGATCTTGGCCACCCTGGCCTGCGAGGCCCGGAAGTCCGCCTTCTGCTGCTTCTCCGCCTCCTGCTTGGTGCGCTGGAGGCTGTTCTCCGAGAACTTGAGCACCTGGTGCAGGTGGTTTTTCAGCTCTTGGATCACAAAGTTCTCCTTCTCCACCTGGACCGGAAAGGGCAGAGACTCTCAAGGGTACCCCCCGCGGTCACGGATCACCGTGGCAGGGGAGGCTGGCGTGCCTGCAGCTCTCAGAGGTGGGGGGGGGCATTATTATGTCTCCCAATTCTACCCCCAGCCCTGGATGAAGACGGGGCCGCCTGCCTAGAGATGGGAAAATGGAGGGGTTGAGTCTGTCTGGGGTTGTGCAGCTTAACTGGAATTTGAAGCCAGGTCTGTCCCATCTGGAGCCCGCATCTGTGGCCACCACCCTCTATTTCCTGGCATGAGCCAAGGGCTCAGCGTGCCTGAGACAGCTCCATGCTCCTGCCTGAGGCACTATGGGAAGTAGCCAGTTGGCAGAGATACCTGGCGTGATGAATGAAGGTGTGAGATAAACACCCAGCACAGGGAATGCCACCGGGTTCTCCCCTTGAGGGCCTGGCTTGGCTCCTGCCCTCAGTGGGTTCTGAAACAGGAATTAGGGTTGGGGGTGGGGGAGTTGGGGCTGTTCCATAAATAAGCTCCAAAGGCTGATTACAAGCACTAGGGTTTCCCTCTGAACACGCCGGTGCTGTGGCTGGCTCAGCCAGCAGCCTGAGGCTGGGGGGCGGCTGGCAGTGGGGTCGCGGTGGGTCTGAGCTCACTTCCTGGACTCAGGGAGTGGCAGGTGGGGTTGGGGAAGGGGTTTGAGGCAAGCCAATCCTGTGGGCAAGTCTTCAATCTTCAGGTGCTGGGTTTGAAGGCAGGAGGTACCATGAGGAGTCAGAGCTTCTCGTGTGGACCCCGAAACCTGCCTTATTGGTGTCACTCCCTCATTTTACACTGAGAGCCGATGACCTGATGAAATCTGCCCACCTGGCAGAAATGAAATTTGCCCAACCAGAGCTGTCCAACACGGCAGCCCCAAGTTGTTCTCCACCACCTGAATGAAATCAGCAGACACTTGGCAGGGTGGGGTCTTGTCCTCGTCCCTAAGTCACACCCCTCCAACCTCTGAGTGACCTCCTCTGACTGAACTCCCGGGAGCCTGTCATCTCTCCACTCACCAAATAATCAGCATGTCTGCTTTTCATGCCAGGTCTGCTGGGGACACAGCGGGGGGCTGAGAGAGACGAGGTCCCTGTCCTCTTGCGGGAGACCCAGACCCCAATCATTTTCATCACACAAGTAGTCATCAACAAGCCCTAGTGAATGCCGAACAGGACCAAGTCAGGAAACCAGTGCAGCAGGGAGGGAGAGTGGCCTTGGTCTCTCATCTGTCACAGGGCGATGAAAAGGTGGCAGCTGTCCCCCAGGACCCCCTCTCCCTGGCAAGGCTGTAGAGCAAAATGTTTTGCTGGGAGCCTGGCCCCAGCTCCAGACCACTTTCCCAGCATCTCTAGCGCTGGCTAAGAACTGTATGAATGCTGCTTCTAGGTGGTGGCCCAAAAGAGCACATCAAAGCCCCCTTCTCTGCTTTCCTCTTTCCTGCTGGCTGGACCAATGATAACATGACTGGGGGAATCTGGAACAGCCTCTTGGGTCCACAGTTTGAAATCTCATGTGGGGGATGTCAGGGAAGCCAGCCAGAAGGAACTTGGGCCCCTGACAAGTTTATGAAGCAGAACTTCCATGCTGGCTCTCTGTTAAACAGAAATCCATCTCCAGCTTGACTAAGCCCCTATTATTTGGGGTCTCTTTGTTTTAGCAGCTAAACCTATACTTATACATCACCTCCAGGGACTTTGTAATATGTTGGTGAGAAAATGTATGTAAAAAAATAACACATAGGACTTCCCTGGTGGTCCAGTGGTGAAGAATCGGCCTGCCAATGCAGGGGACATGTGTTTGATCCCTGATCTGGGATCAAACATGCTGTGGGGCAGCTGAGCCTGAGCGCCACAGCTTCCCAGCCTATGCTCTGGAGTTTGTTCTTCACAAGAGAAGCCACCACAATGAGAAGCTGGCACACGGCAAATAGAGAGGAACCCTGGCTCGCCGCAATCAGAGAAAGCCCGCAGGCAGCAACGAAGACCAAGCTCAGGCCATCAAAAATAAATAAATAGATGAACAAAAATGATTTTTAAAATAAAATAACACAGTAGGTGTACCCAGATGGTTATTAGGTGGGATCATGTTATCTTTTCCCCTCTTAAAAATTCTTCTAGAGCTTCCACCCCTCCCACCTGCCCTCAGGACAAGGATCACATTCCTTGAATAGGCCTCAAAGGTGATCTGTCAGCAAAGTCTTAAACATTTATTATCCAGCCCTGGCCTGGAAGGTCCCTCTCTATTTCACCCGCTTGGTTTACACCCTCTCATTCTTCAAGTCATGGCTTCCATGTCTCTGAGTTCCAAGTTCAGGCCTCCTATAACATTCTCTTATAGCACCCTGTACTTAACCCTTCCTTGTACTTCTCAAGACTGTAATTAAATCAGCTCTTTAAGACCTGCCTTCCCTCTCATGAACTCCGTGAGGCTGGGACCATGTGGACTCATCATTTGTAAGACCTGGCACCTGGTGAGTGCTCAAAACAATATTTGTGGAGCAAATGAAAAAAACAACTATTTAAACCGCGGAGGGAAGAAACCTCAATTGCCAAAAGACGTGGGGCCTCTCCCCGGGGGCTCCCACTGTAATCTGACCAGTACCGTGTATTCATACCTCCGCATTCCTGTTCCTCACACAGGCAGCCAGTTCATTTTCCAGGGTGTCGATGATCTCTTGGTGCCTCCGATTCCGTCGGGTGATGTCCTGGATGAACTGGATCTTGTCTCTGGCTTCCATGGGACTGGTGAGTAACTTCTCAAATAGGAAACCTCGGAGTTCTACCAGGCTATCGATAAAACACTGGGCTTCCTCGCTCCTGCCCAGGGTCTGCGCTTGCAACAGACTGGCGGCCTGGGGGTTACTGAGCAGGAGTCTCACGACGTTCTTGGTGGATTCTTTGATCTCCTGCATCAGCTGCGGGAGCTGGGATTTCTGCTCGTCCATGGCGAAGAGGCGCTCTCGGAACCACGCTTCGTCCTCGAACTCTTCCGCCTCCTGCAGTTTCCTTTTTTCCTCCTGCAGGTAACTGACTCGGTCCAGGAGGACCTGGCAGAGATCCTCGTGTTCCTTCACTGCCTTGGTGACGTCCGGCCCCAGCGTCCCCTCGGAAGTCTTGGACTCGGAAGCCCCGTGGGACAGCAGGCTCACCAGCTCCACCTTGTGGATGGTCTCATCCAGGACGGACATGATCCTCTTGGTCTCGATGGTGGTGAGTTTGGTCTTGGCGGGGGTCAGGGCTTTAGGTGGGATGGTGGATTTTTTGGTTGTCTGGGCTATCAGCCTTATTTTGTTGATGTCAGGACCTTTGTAGAGGGGGGCCACGGTGAGGACATCCAGAGCCATTTTATGAGCTTCGCCTCTGCACGCCCTGAGAGATTGAGACTTGGGTAGTCTCCCTGGGCCTCTTGCTTTGATTATGTCTGGCTGCCCTGAATAAGGAAGGAGAAGGCAGTCAGCAGGGTCACACTGATATCGGGATGGCTGGCGTGGCCACAGCAGCTGTAAACTGTAAAGTGCTGTTGTGTAAACTATTGATGTGGAGAGATCGCCTTAGATGTTCTGCATCTTTGACCCAGAACCTCTCACAGAAAGTAGTTTTTAGCTCCGTGACAGTGTCAGGGCCCCAAGGATAAGGGGACCAAATGAGGAGGTGGGTCTCAGACACGTGTGTCAGGCAGGGACCAAGCAGGAATACAGATACCATTCTAAGTATTTAAACACACCCTGGGCTTACCAGGTGGCTCAGTGGTAAAGAATTCGCCTACCAAAGCAGGAGACGTGGGTCAGATACCTGGGTCAGGAAGATCCCCTGGAGAAGGGCATGGCAGCCCACTCCAGTATTCTTGCCTGGAGAATCCCATGGACAGAAGAGCCTGGCGGGCTACAGTGCATGGGGTTGGAAAGAGTCAGACATGACTAAGCACACACACCTGTGACATGGGTGATGGAAGAGCTGAGCGGCCAACCAGGGGCAGGGGAAGCCACCCAGCAATTGTCAATGGCCGGAAGTCACAGAGGAGGAGGAGGAGGGGCGGGTCTGGGGATCAGGGTCCCCCGGAGGAAGCTGGAGCCACAGCCATTTCCTGCCCGGGAGTCACTGTGGCCCCAGTGGAGCTGTGGCCTTTGCTGGAATGCAGCCCAAAGCAGAGAGAAGAGGCGGAAATCTGGCTCCTCCCTTCGTCAAGTCTTCCAATCTAACACCAGCATCTCCTCTTGACCAAATCCAGGGGGAAACCAGCTGACTAGGGAGCCTGGGCAATGCGGCCAGCAGGGGTGGACAGCCAGAGACAGAACAGAAGAGAGACAGCAAATAATCGTGCTGAGAGCAAACAGCACTAGGACAAGCACAGTGTATCTTCATTGGCTTTTAGGAATGTATTTTAGAAATTGGGGTGGGGATGATCATGACTTCAAAGCACAACTTAGAAAACTGTTTTTCTACAGTAACAGACTCACAGATATAGAAAACAAACTTCGGTTTATCACAGGGGAAGGAGGTGGGTGTGGGGATAAATTAGGAGTATGGGATTTACAGATCCACACTACTGTATGTAAAATAGATAAACAAAAAGGATTTACTGTACAGCACAGGGAACTATATTCAATATCTTGTACTAACTTATAATGAAAAAAAATCTTTAAAGTTGTATGTGTATATATATGTGTGTGTATATATGAAACTAGACCACTGTCCCATATGCCTGAAACTGACAAATATTGTAGGTCAAGTATATGTCAATCTTTAAAACTATATTAAAAAAAAAATACTGTTTCAGGGACTTCCCTGGTGGTCCAGTGGTTAAAAATCCGCACTCCAATGCAGGGGACTCAGGTTTAACCCCTGGTCGGGGAACTAAGATCCCACATGCCAAGGGGGCAACTCAGCCCATGCCACAGCTAGAGAGAAGCCAGAGTGCCATGATGAAGACCCTGTATGTCACAACCAAGACCTCATACAGCCAACTAGATAAATACTTTTTTAAAAAACGAAAAACTTTTTGCTAGGTGCAACAGAGTATACTGAAATGGCTCCTGGATCACAAGAATGACATTAGTAGGAAAACCGATGATAGGCAAATAAAGTTGATAGTTTAGTTCCTAGCATTATATCAATTTTAATTTCTTAGTTTTGACAAACCATGGTTATGTAAGATATTAACATCTGGGGGAGCTGAATGAAGGTTACAGGGGAATTCTCTGTATTATCTATGCTACTTTTCTGTAAATCTATAATTACTACAAAATTAAAAGCTTAAAAGAAAAGCTTAAAAGCTTTCAGGAAAAAAAATACCTATGGTGGCAGTCAGAAATCAGTCATTGGTGTTGCCTATATGGCTGGATGGCTAAGAGTACTAAGCTTTGCAGCAACCCCATGTGAGTTTCATATCCTGGCTGTGGGACCCTGGGCTGTCTATTTAATCCCACTAAGCCTGGGCTTCCTCAGTCATTAGACAGGTATCCTCACAGGGGAAGTTTCTGGCACAGATCCTGGACATTGTGAATGCTCAATAAATAACAAGTATTATTTTCTGGGGGAAAACGAAATCCTACGCTGAAGACCTCAGTGGTTTCCCAGTCTGCATCTCCCACCACCCTGCCGCTCCCTGGAGATCCAGATGGCCGGGATCGGCTGGAGCTCCCAACATACCGTGTCGAAGATGGACCCCACCACGTCTCCACTCTTGCCTTGTCTATCCAGTACCCCTTGTCTGGATGGTCAGCAATTCTGCCACCCGAATTGCTCAAGCCAGAAACCTGAGTGTCACCCGAACTCTGCCTCCTCTCCCACATCCAACGTACCACCCAGGTATCTGTGTTCACCCTTGAGAGCTCCCAGCCTGTTTCCTTCTCAGCAGCCTCTCTGCCACTGAGCAGGGGCCTTGATGTTGCTTGTTTGATGATTAAAGTGTTCTTTAAGTGGTCTGCTTACATCTGTTGCTGCTCCCAGCAAGAAAGATCGTCCAAGGGGTCACCCATTTGGGTATTTATTGAGCCCCCAGGGATATTAAAAAAGATGCAAGGTACTTCCTGTCCTCCCAGAACTTATAACCTAGTTTGGGATATGGAACAGACACACGTGAAAGTTCAGCAACTATGGGAGGCGGGGATGAAGTTGTGTTGTCAGTTGCCTAGCACCTGATATGGCTGCCTTTCTTCCTGTTCTTTGGCCCTTAGGTGTTTCTTATTTCTTGGACTCCCTCCGCTTCTCTCTATTTACTCTTTGCTTTGCTGAACAGGAGGTATCTGTTCAATCCTCTCTCTGGTTTTTCTTTTTTTTTTGGCTTCATGCTGTGCAGCATGTGGGATCCGACCCGATTTTGAACACGTGTCCCCTGCACTTGGAGCTCGGAGTCTTAACCACTGGACTGAAAGGGAGGTGCTCCATCTTGCATCTCTTTGATTCCCACCCACTTTCCGCTCCACAAACAATCTTGTGAGTTGCTTCAAGCTTTTCCTGAAAATAACATTTTAGGGATATCCATGGAACTTCCTCAGCCTCTCTAGGGATGAAGGATATCTGCACTCCCCCTCCAGCCACAGGATGGATGTGAACAAAGTGTTTCATGAAGCCACGTCTCCCCATCGCCCCCCCAAAGCTCTCAAGCATAAATCAGAACGGTCGAATTCTTTAGTGTGTGGCATCGAATGCAGTGTTGAAGAAAATGTTCCCAATTTGCTTTCAGCCAAATTACCTCTTTTGCTTTAAAGGGCAAACTTGTTTTCTTTGATTATGATGATGCCCATCAGTTCCTGACAGCTCATTTGGGTGAACAAGAAAAAGTCAGTGGAACTGGGACTGGGGGAAACATGTCTGACTTCTGATGACAAAAATCACTAGAGAATTTCTTTTCCTTGAATTCTAATGTGATCACTTCATGTCCTTTTTAATGCCACCAACCTTAATATTTAAATCGCTTCCAACACAAGCCTCTCCTTTTAAGATTCCTGCCCCAAGAGTAAAGCACTACTGTTAATGGAGGGGGAACCTAAATTGGATCATCCCTTTATTTGTCATTAATTCTGCTGCTGAATTTTATAAATGGAAATATATCTTTATCATGCAAATTATACCTCATTTTCATTCAAATGGGCTTGTTGGATGTTGTATTACTTTCCCTCTCAGAACAGTTTGGAGTTTAAAAAAAAAAAAAGGTTTGAGGTAAATTATGTATGTTTCCCCCTGGGGAGAAAAAGGAGAAGAAAATCCAGCACCTATAAGTACCCTCAAATCCAGCCCTAGTCTATGGAGAAGTCAAAGGATGTGAAAAAACAAACTTGAGAGAGAGAGACAGAGTGTTTGTGTGTGTCTGGGTGTGGGTGGGTATGAGGGGCATCTCATTTTAAGGAATGCCATTTAAATACTAACTAACTCTTAGGAACTCCTTGGCAGTCCAGTGTTCAGGACTCGATGCTCTCACAGCCAGGGGCCTGGGTTTGATAAGTGGTCAGGGAACTAAGATCCCACAGGCTGAGTGCAAAACAAAAAAACAAACAAACAAAAATAAAAACAGCAGGTGAGGGAGACAGACTAAATCAGGGTAAGCTCTGAATCACCTCTTGTTGGTTTTTCTATTTTGGAGTCAAGCGCTCACATGCTTTGGAAACTTTTGTGGTTGTTGCTGTTATTCAGCTGCCAAGTCTTGTCCGACTGTTCGAGACCCCCATGGGCTGCAGTATGCCTGGGTTCCCTGGCCCTCACCATCTCCCGGAGGTTGCCAGAGTTCATGTCCACTGAATCAGTGAAGCCATCCAACTAGCTCATCCTCTGTTGTCCTCTTCTTCTTCTGCCTTCAATCTTACTCAGCATCAGAGTCTTTTCCAATGAGTCAACTCTTCACATCAGGTGGTCAAAGTATTGGAGCTTCAGCTTCAGCATCAGTACTTTCAATGAATATTCAGAGTTGATTTCCTTTAGGATGGACTGGTTGGATCTCCATGTAGTTCAAGGGACTCTCAAGAGTCTTCTCCAGCACTACAATTCGAAAACATCAATTCTTTGGTGCTCTGCCTTCTTTACTGTCTAGCTCTCATATCCGTACATGACTGCTGGAAAAACCATAGCCTTGACTATACAGACTTCTGTTGGCAAAGTAATATCTTTGCTTTTTAACACACTGTCTAGATTTGTCAAAGCTTTCCTGCCAAGAAGCAATGGTCTTCTAATTTCATGGCTGGAGTACCATCTGTAGTGATTTTAGAGCCCAAGAAGAGGAAATCTGTCACTGCTTCCACCTTCGCCCCTTCTATCTGCCATGAAGTGATGGGACCAGATGCCATGATCTTAGTTTTTTTAATGTTGAGTTTTAAGCTGGCTTTTTCACTCCTCCTTCACCCTCATCAAGAGGCACTTTAGTTCCTCTTCACTTTCTTTTTTAAGTTTTTAAAAATTAATTTATTTTTTAATTGAAAGATAATTGCTTTACAGAATTTTGTTGTTTTCTGCCAGAT